AAAAAAAAAAAAAAAAAGATCAGGGTGTTATGACACCCCCAGAGGAACATAGTAATTCTCTACCAATGGATCCTAATCAAAATGAAATTTGTAAAGTGCCAGATAAATAATTCAAAAGATTGAACTTAAAGAAGCTCAAGAAGAGATGCAAGATAAATCTGAAAGCCAATACAACAAAATCTGAAAATTCATTCAGGATGTGAACTAGAGATTTACCAAGGAGACAGATATCTTAAAAAAATTAACATCTAGAGATGAAAGATTCATTGAAAAAATTACAAAATACAGTGGAAAGCTTTAATCATAGACTAGACCAAGCAGAGGAGAGAACCTGAAGTCTTTTTAATTAACCCAGTCAGACTAAAATAAAATACTAAATAAAAAAGAAGTATGGGGCTACATAAAGCAACGAAACTTATGAATCATCAGTATTTCCAAGGGAGAAGAAAAAGGGAAAAATTTAGAATCTAAGAAAATAATTGGCAAACATTTTCCTAGCCTAGCAAGATATTGAAAGATCTGAATACAGGAGGCCCAAATAATCACCAGTAAAATACCCTGCAACATGAACTTCACCACGATATGGAGTCATCAGACTGTCTAACACCAAGTGAAGGGAAATATCCGAAAATCAGAAACAGAAAAGCATCTAGTCACCTAGAAAGGAAACTCCATTCGATTAACAGTAGACATCTCAGCAGGAACCTTACAAACCAGAAGAGAATGGAGTCGTATTTTCAAACTGCTTAAAAAAACCCTGCCAACCACAGACGCCACCACGCCCAACTAATTTTTGTATTTTTAGTAGAGATGGGGTTTCACCATGTTGGCCAGGCTGGTCTCAAACTCCTGACCTCAGGTGATCCTCCCACCTGGGCCTCCCAAAGTGCTGGGATTACAGGCGAGATCCGTCGCGCACAGCCAATTTTCTCTTGTATTTAAATTACCCAGAATTACCACCTTAAATACAGCCAGGCATGCTCTCGCCTCTTGTGATTGGGATGCAAAGATGGTAGGCACCAAGACGGTAAAGTTTAATGAAATCTTCCTGGCATAATCTTCGCACCAAGGCTGGAGGCACAGAAGCAGCATTTTATTCACAAACACAGCAGCTATGGAGCTGCAGAAAGCAGAACATCTGCTTCATCCCTAACCTAAGAGAGGGTGTGGGACCATCAGCCTTTTGTAAATGCGCTAGAGGGAGATGCCACTGAATGGAAGGAGTTACCCCAGAGATGTGAGCAAGTGTGAGACTGTCATTCAGATATTATCCGTCTAAAATTTGGTGAGAGGCCGGGCACGGTGGCTTGTGACTGTAATCTCAGCATTTTGGGAGGCTGAGGCAGGAGGATCACTTAAGGTCAGGAGTTCAAGACCAGCCTGGCCCATATAGTGAAACCTGTCCCGACTAAAGATACAAAAAATTAGCTGGGCGTCGTGGCGCGTGCCTGTAATTCCAGCTACTCGGGAGGTTGAGACAGGAGAATTGCTTGAACCCAGGAGGCGGAGGTTGTAGTGAGCTGAGATTGTGCCACTGCATTCCAGCTTGGGTGACAGAGCAAGACCCTGTCTCAGAAACAAAATAAAATAAAATGAAATTTGGTGAGAGAATCTCTGCTATTACTTCTTCTAACCATCTCCTCCTTGAGAGCCAGAAGAGGAAGGTCCCTTCTCAGTAGTGAATTTCGACGGGGATTCTTGCATGTGGCTCAATATTCAGCACCTATAGGTGACCCTCGGGGAGAGTGATCCATGTTCTCTCCATGAAAACTGTGCCTTGCCCTTTCTGTTCCACTGGAGGGACCGAGGGGATAACCTGGAAATATCATTGTCATCTTCTCTGGTCTCCTAAATCGCTCAGCTTACCTTCGTCAGCAAGGCGTCGCTGGGGACAAGGTACAAGTGGAACTTAATGTCTTCGGGGTGGGGGTGAAAATAGAGCAACGTGTTGGAGGTGATGGGGATGGAGAGGCGAGTCCCCCTGGCGATCCGCAGCAGGATGCCCATCAGGGAGAAGCTGGGGTTGTCCAGGACAGCATAGAAAGGCTCCACCCGGCTTGGCTGCTCCAGGACCATCCCTTCATCCTTAAAATGGGCCACGAGGAACCAGGAGACATCCACCTCACCTGCCGCAGGAGAACCGCAACAGCAGTGAGACAGCACGCGCCCTGGCAGCCCCCACAGCCTCCGCTCACCCCGCATTACCTTGGAGGGAGATGAAGTGGGGGAGGTGGATTTCGGCCACAGCCTCCTCTGGCTCTGCAGTGACGGCAAACAGGGGGCCGGCCGCCAGCCACTGTTCATGGTGCTGCAGGTCCAGGGCCAGGTGCTGACTCCAGGAACCAAACGCAATCGTCACGGTGACCGCATCCCTTACCACGAAGCCGAGGCCGGTGGCTGACCACAGATACCAGCCAGCAGTGGGGAACCGAAGGCTGAAAGGAGCCAGAGTGATGTCATGACGGGAGAACACCAGGACTTGGATTTAAGCAGCGATGTGCAGAGGGAGGTGGGATTTGAAGTGAGGCAAGTTCAGGACCCATCTGCGACTTTCACTACATTACAAAACGCTGGGGAGTTCATTAACCTCTCTGGGCCCCAATTTCTCTGCATTCTATATATGTTGACATTAAAATACCAATTTCGCAGCACAAGGAATAAACATATTATTGATGAAATTTTAGCTATCATAAGGGACGGAGCCGATACGCTTCCATTTTTATTTTTATATTTATTTAATTATTTTTGAGATGAATTCTCGCTCTGTCACCTGCTGCAGTGCAGTGGTGAGGTCTCATCTCACTGCAACCTCTGACTCCTGGGTTCAAGCGATTCTCCTTTCTCACCCTCCTAATTAGCTGGGACTACAGGCGGGTGCCACCACGCCTGGCTATTTTTGTATTTTTAGTAGAGACAGGGTTTCATCATGTTGGCCATGCTGGTATTGAACTCCTGACCTTGTGATCCGCCCTCCTTTGGGCCTCCCAAAGTGCTGAGTCACCACACCCGGCCTACACACTTCCTTTATATCAGAGCGGTTTTCAAATCATCAGCATCTTCCGTTCTTACCTGTATGTGTTTGTGCTCTTATCAATCAACTCAACATCCACATTTCCTTCAGGCCCCAGAAACTGATGATTTGTGTAATCTTGTTCAACCTCAAAACCGAGTTTAGCAGCATAAGAGGAAACTATTTGATTCTCTTCTGAGCAAATATCTCCTGAAAAGAAAATACTAGACATGTAAGAGGTAAAGAGTTGGAAGAGGCATGGCCCGAAGGACTCCTGGAGGCTGAATTACACAGATGCTGTTGGGATACAGATATCAAATAAGAACAGAGAGTGACCGGAATATGCGGTTCTGCTTCTTTGAATCCAGACAAGGAAAGGCACAAGAATATTCTCTGTTGTGACTAAAAGTATACCCCAAATTCCATAGGGCTTTCTGGGAAGCCAGGCTGGACAGCTTTGGTGGGAGGCACCGTTTGCTGAGGACTGGAACCAATGCACCTACATTTCTACTGGCCCCAAAGAGCAGATGACACCTTCTGCTGGTGAGGCAAGTCCAGGTCAGAAGAGGATCGAGCTTTTCTGCAAGGTGAAACAGCGTGCATCCTTCCTAGTCCCTGCTGCTGTCCGCAGCCACCAGGACCATCCCCTGGTTCCCCTGAGCATTTCCGTGCCCCTGCAGTGAGGCTTACATGTCCCCATGTAAACTGCACAGTGCACTGTGGCCGAGGTAAGGAAAATCACTCCTGATCTTCACTGCGCAAAAGACTCTAAATTGTCTTCTCCACATAAAACAGAACATTTCCATCAATCCATATGCCCTTCAATCCTCTCCCTATTAGTCCATTACCTGATTCTTGTCCCTCTGAAGATTCCTGATCCCCATGTCACAAAAAGATGAAAAATATCAAGAATTAGTTGATGAAGATGAAGACGATGTTATTAAAAACTAGAGCTGCACCGTCCAGTAGAGTAGCCGCTACCCAGATGTGCGTTTCAAATATGTATGAATTAAACTTAGGTAAACTTTGGTTTCTCAGTGGCACCATCCACATTTCAACTTCTCGAACACCTACATGTCACTCACGGCGACAACACTGTGTAGCAGAGAATGGAACACTCCTGTCATGACAGAAAGTTCTCTTAGGACGGATCTAGACTATCAAAAAATAGAAGATATTTTGAATGAAGATAACTTTATCCAGATTTATAAATAATGGAGCTACGGTGCTCCCTAGAGCCAAATATATCTTGGCATCTCTCCCTCTTCCCTTTGTCCTGTGCTCATGTTCAACGTGGACACAGCCAGCTTCTCTGGCTTAAATTGATTGCTCCAATTGGTATCATATGATGTTGGAATCAAAGACTGAAGCAGTAATTCACCAATGCACAAAATGCATGCATTTATATTCCAAGTTAATTCCAAACTTGACTACACCTGGGAAGCTTTAAAAACCACCCAATACCCAGGTCACAGCCCACACCAATTGAATCAGAAGTCTGGAGGTGGCACCAAAGCATCGGGGCTTTCAAAGACTCACAGGTGATTCCAATATTAGCCAACATGGGCTCCATGATCTACAGCGTGAGCCAGTGGTGCGTCAGGCCCCTGGAGAGAAATCTGCCCTAACACAGGCGATCCCTTCTGAAGGAAGGCAACCAACTCCATCAAATTCTCTGCCTTTGATCTATTCCTCGAGGCGTCTGTTTATTTTAACGTGAAAGAGACCAGCAGAAAAATTGACACGTGGATTAGGTTTAAAAAGAGAAGGTACCTGGAGAAGCGGGATGAAGAGAAAGGCTTTACAGAGCTTTTCTCAGAAGGGTTGTGTAGGCAAGTCAAGCATGGAGAGACCCTTGGCCTGACATCCTGACTGGTTGCTGTTTGCGGCTACACATTTTGATGTGGATTCGGGTAGCTACAGGCAAAGCAGCAAGAGTAAACATGCCATTTTATACTCTCTCTCCTGGTGCATGTACATGCTGGAGTCTGCGGAGGGGTTTAGAAGGTGGGAGGAAGCCAGCGCAGAAATGCAGACAGCGCATCCCAGATCATGAGAGCCGACGGTTCCATTTTCAGGGACTTTGCAACCAAGTTGTTCCACACAACCATTAGTCTAAATTAAACGATACAAGCTAGCATTTAAATCAATCATATTAAAAACAAAAGTAATACATACGAAAACATAACCAATTTCCAGTCATTTTTCTACACTGTCCAGCAGTCTATGCCCTTGAGGTTATTTATGTCTATTGTATCTGTGTGGTGAAAGTAGGATGAGCGACTTCTACACCTGTCCTCCCAACTCCCTCATCAGGGGCTTCACGTTGGTAGTTTGAAACCTGCCACGATGGGATATTCAACCCTTGGAAACTGGCATACCCTACAAATAGATCCATTCTCCCCTCCCTGGTGTTAAATCTCAGGACTCCACTGCGGCCTTCAGCCTCATCATCAGCCAGTTTCCTAGAGAATTAGGTTGGTTTTAGGCATTGGGTAACGGTTCAACCAATAACCCACTGGCCTTTGATTGCATTGCTCATTGCCTTTTTGTGTATAGGTTCTCTAGACACCTCCATGGAAGAAAATGTCCTTGCCCAAGGTTTGCCTCAAAAATTTCTGGATTCATTGCTAGTATTGCATAAGCTCATTCATTCTCCCCTGAGTTTGATGAAAAACACCCAAATTCCTTCCCCTCATTCTCATGTTCCTCTGTGATACTGAGACACAGCGTCCAATATTTTCCACGGAATAGCTTTCTTTTTTTTTTTTTTTTTTGAGACGAGTCTCGCTCTGCGCCCAGGCGGA